TCTGCCTCCCGAGTGCTGGGATTAAAGGCATGCGCCATCACCGCCCGGCAAATTGAGGGAGTTTCTTAAAGGAGCCTATCTTCCTTTCAGCAGAAGGCGAGGCATTCAGTGAGCACAAGTGGCAATAAGATTAGAGGTTTTGGGAAATGATAAAAAGTCTGATAAAACTGATGGCAGGCATTGGACAGGCTTCCTGGGCACAGATGATGACCCCACCCACTGGAGACCATGCATGGTCTACAGACTTAGGTTTAGGGTTTTTGTTTTGTTTCTTTTATAAAGGGGTGTGTGTGTGTGTGTGTGTGTGTGTGTGTGTGTGTGTGTGTGTGGTGGGGTAATAACACCAATCTATTCCATTGGTGCTAGGAATCAAACTCAAGTCCTTTTGAGTGGCAAGCACTTTCTCAGCTGAGGCATCTTCCTAGCACTGCCCCTCTGCCCTTTAAAGGCAGGATCTTACTTTATAGTCTAGGTTTAGCTTGAAATTCTCTGTTTTCCTGCCTCAGCTTCCCGAGTGTTGAGACTGCAGGTGTCCATGAGCTCCCAGTGAACTTAGGAGGTTAGGAGAGTGGACATAAACAGGACAGGTTGGGATATGCAGGAAAGCTACACACAAGACCTTGGAGGTGAGAGGGAAAGAAAACCAAACCACAGTAGGTTGACAAACTGGAGGAAGTGAACTCACAAGATAGATAGGAAGGAAATCCCAACAGAGTGGGGAAGCCTGCCCAGTCCAATAGCTACAGTACCTTCTCCTCAAAGGAGTCTTTCCAACACCCGGGAAGGGAAATGACAGCTTCCCTCTCCATCCCACCCTAATAGACTCACTCCTTACTCACTGTTCTTGAAGGGAATGTTCTCTGTTCTCTTTCCCTAAAGCAGTGGTTCTTAACCTGTGTGTCATTACCCCTTTGGGGGTCACATATCATATATTTACATTATGATTCATAAGAGTAGCAAAATTACAGTTCTAAAGTCCCAACAAAATAATTTTCTGCTTGGGGGTCACCACAGCATGAGGAAGTGTATTGAAGGGTCACAGCTTTAGGAAGGTTGGGAACCAATGCCCTAAAGGGGAAAAAGAAAACCAATAATGTTTTCCTTATGGTTCAGCCTGAAAGCCAACCAACTGTATGAATTCTACCAACTCTAATATGTGATTGAAGCTGTTTGGGCACAAAAATAAAACCCAACAAAGATCAGAGAAGCAGGAATGACAGTGCTGAACAGGAAAAGGTATACCATATGTTTATGAGTGAGTGTAACAGTGGAGGAAGACTGTGTGGGATTCATGTCTCTAAGGCAGCCTCTTGAGAACTATGTCAAGCTCCTACCTACCCCATCTTGTGAAAGACAAAGGGCACTTCAGACAGAGAAGCAGAGAGGGGTTGCACATGTGAGGACATGGGTACAAAGATATGGGTGAAGGTTGTTTCAGTTAATCATTCTGCAGGCCCCCTGGGCCACAGCCAGATTTCTGGTTCCTTCTAGAGGAAACTAGAATGGTGGTTAAGGTGGCTGAGACTAGAATGACATCTGGATGACAAAAGGGAGAGACTGCACGAAAACACTCATCTTCACCTATAATCTGAAAGCATTCTTGAGGCCCTGAGGTCAGGGATGAGGTCTGATCTCTAGATGGGCAGCCAGTGACATGCACTATGGGTATCATTCAGTGTCCATGGAATTGAAGAGACTGAGGAGAAAGGAGAGGCTTTTTATTAGGGAGCAAACCAAGCAGGCTATTAGGATGGAAGAAAAAGAATTAGCAAGATTTGTGAGAAGGATCCAGAATGGCAAAGAGAAATTCCCTTTTTATGCAGTGGTTTCTCTGGACAGCCCGAGGCCAGGTGCCTTTCCTGTGCACCTGTGGTTGATTTCCTGTAATGTTGGCACTGCCATCTGCTCTTAGATGGAAA